GACAACGCTTACGTAGCAACCCGTCCTCTTAATAGAATGTCGCACTTTGACGTACACTCTACCCAAGGCAAAAAAAATTGTCGTACTAAAAAATAATAGTGGCTCGCGAAATTGAGTGTCCCAATTTCTGTTTTGTGTTCTCTGGAAGGTTAGGATGAGGCACTTTAGTATCATAGTTTCTTGACGTTGGGAAACCTTAGGAGGACGGGCTGTACCATGAGCTATGTGAAAAGAAAGCTCTCAGCCTGTTAACATGAATCAGAAGTCTTCTGTTCCCGTACCTTCCAGCTTAAAACAAAAAATGGACAGAGGTAAAGATTCCGATATTATTTAGCATGACACTATATACACTGATGGCTTTTGTGCGTTGAACAGCGGACACTGAACGCCACACATCAGACTGGATCAAATAATACATACAAGAGAGAATGTTGTTGTTTTAGATTCAGCCACACGGAACAAAATGTTCCAAATAGCACGGGCTATGGTGAGCCCGTAGTGGACTTACCCGGCACAGGAGATGTGGGTGATACAAGAGAGAAGACAAAGAATAAGCACACGCGTGGAGTGCCTTGGGGCTCTGTCCTGGGACCTATCAATCACATGATTTGAATGTGTGACTTGACACGATTTGAATACATGACAGTTGAAAGAGTTTTAAGTCAATCTTCACACGATAACAAATAGGACACATTGTAAATTCAGTGTAAGGGCATGTCAGTGTAAGCCACAAACTTCAAATAGAGTGAAAATTTAGATACCTTAATGTAAACAATTGATTTTAAAGTTTAGGGAAAAATGGAACGCTTTCAACACAATGTAACATGGCTATTTGGCGAATTTATTCATGAAAGGGATCTCCGAGTGATGATTAGTTGAGTCCTAACCAAAATAGCAGCCTATGAATGTATGCAGTAAAGCTACCAGCATACTAAACTGTATACTCTAGTGAGGCCTCACCTTCTACAGTGTGGATATAAATGATCTTGAAAATAAATAAAGAAAAATAACGAAATTAACTCCTTGCATTAGGATACTCCCTTACTAAGATATTGAGAACATTTTAGCGTCAGTATATGGAAGGGTGAGAACAAGGTGAAGTGTGGTTGGAGAAGGCACACGAGTGAGTTGTGTCAACAATGGGAGACATACACAAGTTATTGAAACTATCAAGATAATACTCCGAGCGATGAACTAGGCTTGGACGCTAATATTTAAACATGGTAGATATAAATACAAACTTATATTTAGGAAAATTCTAGATTTGGAAATACGGTTGTTGATTTACGGAATAAATTACATTGAAAGATAATGGGCGTGGGATCACTGCATTGTTTCGTGTGTAAGTTGGACATATGACTAAGTTTTGGTGGATATAAACAGAAGCTGCCTTGTATGAGCCAATAGGCTTTTTGCAGTTTTCTTTCCTCATATGTTATGGTATGATGTCTGAGAGGAAATCATTGGCTAGGCAGTAGAGTCGTCACTAGTGGACGCCAGGAGCAACCAATGATCACAAATATCTCTAAAGTTAATATCCTTTGTTAATATTAAGCAACTGGATTGCTGAACAAGCCAGCAAACACAACACGTAAACAATGCTGCGTTTACGCTGCGTTTGCCGGGTAAAGCGAACACACAGCGTACGCAAGGTTGTGTTTACGTTCCATGTTCGCTTTATCCGGAAAACACCGGATGTGTGTCTCAACGGCCAGAAGGCATTCCTTCTTCTCCTGCTGCTGTTTGAGTGTGGTAAAGCTGTAATAAGTTAGTGATGCTAGAGTACCTTACGCTGAGACAATGTTGATGTATCTAGGCGTAACTGAACTTTTCAAAGTGATCTGTGGAGGCTCATACTGACCAGTCTATATCGTTCTCTGCAGGGGCCCCTTGTTGTTCACCGCTCCTTGTCTCTCCTCTTACGTACACTCAACGTAATATTTGCTTTGAAAATTTGTGGTGTTACTGGTGTCCTGCTTATCTCTCGCGGGTGTTACTGGTGTCCTGTTTAGATCTTTTGTGTAGAGATGTCGCTGATGTTATTAAGCGATAAATAGAAGAGGAAGGCTGGGTGACGTCACCTTTTTGACGTAAGGGGCCATTGATCCCCGGAAGCTACACAAGGTAGGACACAACGTAATGTGTGTGAAGTCAAGGTTGATCAGTTACTGCCCCGCTCTTTGACATACCTGGACACGGGCTCACCATAGGCCGAGCTACTTTGAACTTTTTGTTCCGAGTAGCGGAATCTATAACAACAACAACAGGGTAGGTGACGTCAGGATAGACAGCGTGGCGGATGTTGCCATCCCGGAGGACCGATAGCTAAGCCTCGCTACACATAAACAACTTCGCTATAGAAGGAAAAATATTATCGATATGTTCATTTTTCATGTGAGCTGTTGTGGCTCTGTTAGGTCTGTGTGTGTATTTACCATTTGTATCTGCAGAATTAGCTCTTGGACCCCGCCTTTCTCATTTATTTTTCCTCTTGTGTCTACTACATATATTTCTTACACACGCTCGCGCACACATCCCCAGGAAGCAGGCCGTAGCAGCTGTCTAACTCCCAGGTACCTATTTACTGCTGGGTGAACAGGTACATCAGGGTGAAAGAAACTGCCCATTTATTTCTGTCTCTGCCGGGGATTGAACCCGGACCCTTAAGACTACGACCCCAGAGCGCTGTCCACCCAGTTGCGAGGCCCCCCTGTGCGTACTCACCTAGTTGTGGTTGCGGGGGGGGGGTTGAGCTCTGGCTCTTTGGTCCCGCCTCTCAACTGGTGTACAACTGAGGTACAGGTGTCGTCTGAAGACGTCTGAGTTACCACTGGCTCATTGCTAACAGCACTTCACAATAGACACATCACTGTCTTCCGTAACTCTTACAAGCCAATCCCAGGTACGTCGATCTTTCGAAAACACTGCATATATCAGCAGATAAGACACTGCTCGGATCGACTGCGGCTTCTTAGTCCTCTCGTAGGACCAAGCTAAGAGTTCGTGGATTGCCCAAGGTGAACTACCCCGCCCCCCCCCCCCCCGCTCAGCTCAATCGCCTCCATATGTCACCTCTGTGGACATAAAAACGTCATAAGCCGGATGAACAGTACACTGGGTAACCCTCGGATAACACTTACTCGTCCATCGGAGAATTGATATTGTGCTTTGTAGCCACAACCTAGATGGCGCCGATCTTGATAAGCCACCCACCAGGGGTCACCGTCATCGACCTCACATTCTAACTGAGGCAGGAAACCAGAGCCATTCGCTGATACCAGGCCACCACCAACAGATGGCGTTGTCTACGTAGCCCACAATATCAGGGAAGTTAGAGTGCAGACCCATAGATGGCGCCGAAATCGCCAATCCACACTCCGACGATGGTGTCGATACCGTAACAAATGGTCTCTGGTGACAGTGGTCTCTATTTACAAGAAGTTTACAAGGCTTTATCAAGTCACCAATATTTCCAAGGATCTACGTGGCTTACAATACTTTGCATTAAAGATTTAACAGGTTTTCAACTACCGGCCATTATGGTGGTTGATTGTACACGTTCCATCTACTTTGCCAGAGTGTACACGTTCCATCTACCTTGCCAGAGTGTACACGTTCCATCTACCTTGCCAACTTGTACATGGGTTTGTGGGGCGAGGGGGTAGAGAGGGGGTTGTCTGAAGGCTCGACCCCCCCAAAGGCAGCTCGGGCGAGCACCTTTCACCACGCCCTGCTCGCTTGTGCCCGGCATACCGCCAAACTTTCCATGGTAGCCAGAATGAAATGCAGAAAATTGTATCTTGTCCGTTGAGCAAAAAACTGGCGGGAGCGGTGAGACGCTTTCTCTGCCCCGCGACCAGTTCCTCCTGGCCCGCCGCCATTTTTGTGTGTTTTTTGTTTGTTTTGGTTCCTACCTCTCTCTTTTTATTGGTAGCTGTGAGTGTGCGTGTGCGTGTGCGTGTGTGTGTGTGTGTGTGTGTGTGTGTGTGTGTGTGTGTGTGTGTGTGTGTGTGTGTGTGTGTGTGTGTGTGTGTGTCGGAGAAATACATATGAACCGAGTGAATAATTCTGGGTTTTGGTGTTTCGTAGAAATGTAAAGCTGATTTTAATTTTTAATACTGTATACGATATAATTGGATTGATTTATAATTGGTATATGCGCAGTATAAGGAAAAAGGTGAGATGTTCAAGAGCGAGAGATCATTTATTTGTCACAGCATCGGTGCCAGACGTGTGTCAGCGTCCTGTATACTCTTCAGTTCTCGGGGGTCCTTGCAAGGACCTTAGCTCTTGGGAGTCCTTGCAAGGACCTCATCTCATAGAATCTTTACAAGAACCTCAACTCTTGGGATCCTATCAAGAACATTATCTCAAGGAAATCATCTTATCACGTTGTCTTCCAACAACCTCAGATTTCTAGACCTAGGCTGCTGAAGTTTGTGGCCAATAAAACTTGATGATTTAGAGACACAATTTGGGGGTAGTAAGTGCGCAGCGCTTTAAGCTCGAGGTTACTGACGCTTTGGCCGTTGAGGTGAGGGATTGTTATATAGCGCTGTGGTCATTATGGTTTGGAACTTGACACTTGACGCTGTGTGGACGTGGAACATGCATAAGATTTTGATGCAATGAAAAGATTAATCAGAGTAGTACTCGGTAATATATTATATATATGCGAACAAGCCTGAACGGTCTCCAGGCACATATGCAACTGAAACTGAGTTTTCAGTTATATATATATATTATAGATATATATTATATATATAACAGATTTCATATAAAAATAAGTTTATAAATTGTCCATTGTGTACATAAGCTCAGGAAATTAATTCATTGGATGCTTGCGTGTTTCTTACAGACAGCAGCTTATCATTTTACCCCTTATTAAGGTGAAGGACCTTGACGATAAGCGACAATATTTGTTTATAAAATTACCTATAAGAGCTTCCCCTGATATAATGTGTTGTATCGAGAGAAACTGACCAGTCGTTGTGTTACAGGTGCTGGTGGCGACGCTGGCAGCGACGGCGGCCGGCGAGGACCAGACGACGCGCACCAGGAGAAGTATTGGCTCCTGGATATCCGACTTCTTCAAGAAGTGGAAGAAGGAGGATTCGGAAGACGATTACGGCGGACAGCAGATCATCACTATCCCCGTATACCAGCCCCGTCCCATCTACCACCCGCCCGTCGTCCACCACCAGAAGCCGTACTACCCTCCGCCCTCCTACGGCCCTCCATCCATTCCTCCCACATCATACGGAAGGGGCTTTGGAGGCGGTGGACAATTTAAAGGAGGTTTTGGAGGTGGTGGCCCCATTCCGGGAGGTTTTGGAGGCGGTGGCCCCATTAAGGGAGGTTTTGGAGGTGGTGGCCCCATTAAGGGAGGTTTTGGAGGTGGTGGCCCCATTAAGGGAGGCTTTGGCGGCGGTGGCCCCATTAAGGGAGGTTATGGAGGTGGTGGACACGGAGGTGGTGGCCACATCAAGGGCGGGTTTGGAGGCGGTGGCCACGGAGGTGGCGGCCACATCAAGGGAGGCTTCGGAGGCGGTGGCCACGGAGGTGGCGGCCACATCAAGGGAGGCTTTGGAGGCGGTGGCCACGGAGGTGGCGGCCACATCAAGGGAGGCTTTGGAGGCGGTGGCGGCCACATCAAGGGAGGAGGAGGAGGACATGGAAAAGGAGTCCCATATGGCTTCGGTCCGGTTAAAGATTCTGATGTTGTTCACGGAGGAGGAGGATCCTACCACCCGCCGGCGCTCCCAGCAGGTGATTATGGAGTTCCTCCGCCTCTCCCTCTTGATACTTACGCCGCTCCAAATCTCGATGATATCTACGGTCCTCCTAAGATTGTTGACTCCTACAGCACGCTGGCCATACCTAAAGCCCCCGTTGTCTCCTCAGGGTTGGGAGACAGCTACATCCCTCCAGTAGCACCCGTCGGCCCGTCTGTGAATGATTTGGTGAGCGACTTCCGTACCCCACATTCCTTGTCCGGAGCCGGAGCCGGGGCAGGTCTTGGTGTCATTTCATCTTACGTGGATTTCGAGCCTTCACAGCCCCTCCCGATAGAGCCTATTGTTCCTGAAGTTCCTTTGGTACCAAAGGGACCTCCAGCACCGCTAGCAGCTCTCTACGAACTTCCTGGAGACGGTGGTGCTCTGTCACCAGCACCCGTCGACATCTTACCTCCAGGTAATGGTATATTTGACGTGGGTGGTAGCAAACGAAGTATAGATGGAGGATTTGGAGCATCTGCAGGTGTAAAAGATCAATATTCCGCTCCTACGGCCCCACTGACGTTCGGGGCCGAGCTGGGATATGACGATCCCATCATTGAGATCGTGTTCGAGGACGGGGAGCCGGCGCCTCCACTTCCTCCTCCAGTCATCGACCCGGAAGTGTTTGCGTTGCCAGAAGAGCCCGTTGAAGTGTACTTCATCGAGTACTCACCAGGAGACAATATTGATGACATTGCCGCTCTTAACCTGGAAGGCGCCAAACCGGGTATCCTGCATGACCTACCGGAAGAATTGCCCATTGACGTCCGTTCCCATCTGTTGGATTCTGGAGTGCTTGATAACGCCGAGATCCAGGTCATTAACTTGGACGATGCGTTAACTCAGGGTTATCTAGACAGGGACACCAGAGAAGCGCTAGAGGCCGTGTATGCTTCGGAGAGTCGTCGTGATGAGAAGAAAGTTGACGCGCCGTCCAAAGAAGGCGTTAACATCAAAGTTCACCGCCTGATGAACGAGGACGGGACCCCAAAGGGAGTCGCTGAGCTGCTGTCTGGTCTCGGAAAGTACCGCGAGGGTCGCTTTGCTGGAGTTGTCGAGGCAAATGATGAAGATAAGAAAAAATTCATTCCTGTAATAGTCGATGGTGATAAGCTTCCCTTGCCAAACCACCCTGGACTAGATGGGCGGGAGGTGGCTGGGGTTCTTGTGTTGGCACCCGGAAATAAAAATAAAACGTCGGAGCCTCCGGCCAATACCAGCACCCCAGTACACAATCTGGTCGAGTCGGCGTCGAATTCAGAAGAAGTAGTGACCAAGATCGACCAGATTAACGAGCGGGTGGATCGACAATGGAATGGTGACCCCAACGGCTGGCGCCCCGTCTGGGACTGACTCGCCGTCCACAGTCAAGCCTTCCGTACTTGATTTGTGACTTCCTCCCCATCGCTCCTCGATGGTCTGGTTTCCATTTGAGAAAGAGCTTCTCAGGACAGGGAAACTTTAGGTTAAAACAATGCAGTCTAAGACTTATACCCAAATACCAAATTTTGGTCCGGCATAGCGCGACTCAACTGTCGCCAATTCCCACATTTCGAAACGAGGGCATTGCCCTCACCAAAGAAAAACAAATAATATTGTGAATTACATGTCTTTCGAGTTGTCTAGTGCTGCTAGCTTTACTCTTCATTCTTTCTGATTCATGCTGTATATATATATTGCCCTTTGTAAGTTTAATGAACATATTTTAAATAGGTTTAAGCTTATTTTTAGTCAGGGTAAAATTATAATTAGTTGTCCATGGTTAAGAAGAGGAAAGAAGTCTTCCCACGTCTCAGGATCACACTAGCGGAGTGAACGGTACTGCCTCTTGAACTTATCAACCAGTTCCCCCTTGTTGATATTTAGCAGTTATAAAAGTATGCGTAAGATAATAGAAACTTTGATTGTCTTAGAAACCTTGACTGTCTTAGAATCCTTGTTTGTGTTAGAAACCTTGAGTGTCTTAGAAACCTTGATTGTCTTAGAAACCTTGATTGTCTTAGAAACCTTGAATGTCTTAGAAACCTTGAGTGTCTTATCAGCTACTCATATTAAGACAGGTGTTGTCTCGTCGGATGTGTCGTCTCTCTTGGTAGGCTTAGACTATTTATGTACTTCTCTCATAGTTAGGCCTTCTCTAGCCTGTATTTCTCTCGTAGTTACCCCTTCTCTAGAAGTTTACCCTCTTTCTTACCCATCTCGATTCATCTAATTTCTCACTTGCTCCTCTTTACCAGTTTACTCTCTCTCTCTGTTGCCCCTCTCTAACAGTTTACTCTCTCTGTTGCCCCTCTCTACGACTTCACCCTCCCAGTTTCCCCTCTCTACCCGTGTAAATGTTGCTCAACTCACTACAACTTTCTGCAGGCAGAAAAAACATCACCAGCCTCTTTTCTTGCAATGTTTCTTGTGTGCAAACATTATACTGTACAGTAATTTAATTAATAATAAAAAATATACAAATATTTGTGCTATGTTTATCCTGTGGTCTCTTGTGTGTGTGTGGAGAGGAAGATGTTGTGGTGTGTGTGGGGGGGTGTTGTGGTGAGTATGGTGGGGGGGGGGTGTTATGGTGTGTGTGTGTGGGGGGGGGGTATTGTGGTGTGTGTGTGTAGGTATTATCGTGTATGTGTGAGTATTGTTGGTATTGTGTGTGTGTGGGTGTATGTGTGAGTATTGTAAATGTGCTGTGTATGGTATTGGTGTTTCTTGGAGTATGTGAAGAAATTTTACAGAAAAAAAATAATATTAATTATTCCATCTAATGTACTTTGGATCACAATAATAAATACATTATATATATGTACGGGATAGTCAGTGGACTGGCGTCCCATCATGGCGGACGATCTGGCGCCCAATTGTGGAGGACGACCTGGCACCTCATCATGGCGGAGGATCATCCAGTTGCCAGCTACAGCGGCCACCCTTCATAACATAACCATATATGCACAAAAATGATGTATAAACCTGCACTGGAGAGTTTATAATTATAGATTATATATACAAGGTGGCCTTACATATTTGTTTAATATGACAGGAATATGAAGAGGCACATTAAACAACTTAACAAAAGCACTGCTCTACAGCTGGCAACGTGATTACTCCAGCATTCTTGTTGACTGGTAACAGAAATATGAGCATGTTGTTGTTGTTGTTTTAGATTCAGCTACTCGGAACAAAAAGTTGCAAGCAGCACGGGCTATGGTGAACCCGTGGTACTTACCTGGCACAGGAGATGTGCGATTATGAGCAGAGTGACTATGATGAATTTCCATACACGGTCCAAGAGAGCTGAATGGACAGCGCTCGGGATTCGTAGTCCTGTGGTTCCGGGTTTGATCCCCGGTGGAGGCGGAAACAAATGAGCAGAGTTTCTTTCGCCCTGATGCATCTGTTCACCTAGCAGTAAATAGATACCTGGTAGTTAGACAGCTGCTACGGGATGCTTCCTGGGGGTGTGCAACAAAAAGGAGGCCTGGTCATGGACCGGGCCGCGGGGACTGTAAGCCCCAAAATCATCTCAAGATACCCTCAAGCTATGGTGGATTTAATAAATCCATATATAATTTAGCCCAGCACTTTCCATCAATTCATTCTTACAGAATTAACGATACAATGATAATATAGTCATAGGTCATGCTTATTAATAATGAAGTAATGTGGATAATAATTAGATAACCAGCACTTTCTCTAAATAGCATCTAGGCCACACATCTCTCCTGTTTCGCTACAAGCAGAAACAGCTGGCTCACTGACCATCACATCATACGATCTATTATGCTCATATTATATTTTTATTTTACATGATAGTGAAGTCCTACAAACTACTGACTGGACTTAACAATATTAGAAGAACTATAAAAGTACCAGAGGCCATTAAATTTATTATATTGGCAAAACAGGCATCTTCAGCAACCACAACATCCATTACCAACAAGACGCAATAGGTGATTATGTTGTGTGTCCCCAGAGCCCTCAAAACATACATGTTGGTACTACAGGTTTTGTTAATCCATTGCAAAACTGACCAACATCAGGTAACAGGAATTTAGTATAATATATATATATATATATATATATATATATATATATATATATATATATATATATATATATATATATATATATATATATATACACACAACATATAACATGTAAACATGGACATACTATGTTTTTTTCAAATATTATACTTTCTGATATTACCTTTCACAGTAATCAATGCATTATTTGATTAAATGTATGTTTTCCTAAGAACTATTAAAGCTCCTTGAAGATGCTAAAAGTGTTCAGACCATAAGAAAATCAATACATAAGAACTTCGACAGCATCTTTGAAAAGCATGTTGAAACAATATATGCCACATTTGGTCCTTCGAACCGGATAATCTTGGACAAAATGTTTCGCCTTTAAATAATAATTACATGCAGCAGATCAGTTTAATATAGAGGTTAAACATTACCTATAATCAGAATACAAATGATTAAAATTTGTATATTACATTTTTAATTTTAATTTAACATTTAATCCATTATCAGCACATATAAAATTATTTTGACATCAAATTAATGAGTTAATGATAGTTAAGCCAGTTATTTAATTTAAGAAACAAGACAACACTTCTGACACAAAAATTATTAGCCAGCCAAAAATACTTATTAACTTCTTTATGAATAAGCCTAAATTACAGTTGGTGTTTTAGATTTAGCTACTCAGAACGAAGTGTCCATGTAGCACGGGCTATGGTGAGCCCGTAGCCTAAATTACAGTTGTTGTTGTTGTTGTTATAGATTCAGCTACTCGGAACAAGTTCCAAACAGCACGGGCTATGGTGAGCCCGTAACTTACCTGGCACAGGAGCGGAGCAAGTAGCACGGGCTATGGTGAGCCCGTAGTGGACTTAACTGGCACAGGAGTGGTGGTGTTGCTAAATTACAGAATAACTTTAGCTTATATATAAACAGTGACTAGTCAGGTAATAGTCATAAAACTATAAATTGTCATAAACTAATTGAATTAAACCTAATTAAGCAATTCTAATTAATTACTGATTTCATTTCATAATAATTGTAATTGAACTGCAAAAAACCACACCATACATACCACAGATCTGATCCTTCCAAAGCCTGGTGTCCAGTTATCTGGGCTACATGTCGAAGAACTACATTTCATCAACCCTTACAACGTCTAATGGAATTCCTGCAAAAATTCAGTTACAGACATACATACATTCATAATGCTGAAGATGCAGAGCACCATACTCACTAGTAGTATAAATGTGTTCTTAACATTAATCACCATACACTGTAATTATCTGTAGACCCATCCAGTGGGTAATATACACACACAAACCCTAACCCAAGTGTCATCATGAACAAGATGGTTTTGGGATATGGTCTTTACAGGCACGGTCTTGAAACCCATAAAGGCTTGACAGTCAAGGTCTTGAAAACCTCAAAGTCTTGAAATCCACAAAGTCTTGAAGGACACCATCTCGAAAGCCATATGGGCTTGACAAGAATGAGACTGCTGTTTCGATTCTCAGGAAGAAGATAACAACTAACAATAATGTTGCCAATCCATTCAAAACAACGGGTAGTAAAGTCAAAGTTGTAACGTACTATTACATGCACGTATTTGGTTCATTAGATACACAGAGTTTAGTGTTTTTTTCATATTTGCTTAGTAGTCTTGGTTACAGCAGTCAGCTTGTTGGCAGTGTAGTGAAGTGTCGAAGGAGTCGAGACGAAACCTGGAGCATGGCAGAGAGCCGAGTGAGGCCGGGGGTAGACAGAACAGGACACGTCCTCTGTGTAAGGGCTCCCTCACATGAATGCTTTTGCCTGGAGCTCAGGGCATCTCGTGGGGCACAACACAAGGGGTTACAATTTGACCAATAGCATTGCAGCAAATGAGCGGGAACCAATCATATTGATCGTTCCCTGATCAGTAGCAGAGGTGACGTCACAAACACGTCACAGTTGTTATTCTCCAACGCACCGTTGAGGCTGACCTCAGGGTCAGACTGTTGCCTCGCAGGCGTTCCCTCTCCTCTCTCACGCTTCGCACCTCCTATGTACTCACTGACCCTTTGTGGCAAGTATGCTTAACTTCCCTGTATCTACTTCCTGCCTGGACATACGGTGGCCTCTGTATTATAAACATGTTCCTGGTTAAGTGGGTATTCTATAGATACCCAACATGCCAGTTCACTATCCAGGGTTAACAGAGATAGGGCTGGTGCACGAAGATCGGTGCACTGTGCACTGCAATGAGCCATTCAAGTCAGCTGTGGGAGAATCTTGAGAGACCTACTCTCACAAGACCCATCTCATTATCTGCACATAAGCTAATGATAATTTGCAGCATGTATATTATTGACATAATATACTTGCTACAAAGTATTTAAGCTTGTTATTGTCGATCAAAATCCGATTATAATTGGCGTTCGAGGCTTACAAAAATTGACACAAAGCCTCATCGTGGAATTAAACTAGCAGGTAAAGATTGAAACTCCGATACCATAGTAATTATGAGTGGTGATAAGTATTGTTATTGGTTTATAAAAATTGTACCATAGGCTAACACATTTTGCTTCATAAGATATCCAAGAAGCAAGTTAATATGCGGTCCTGTATGCCAGAGACTGTTAGATGGGGGTGGCTCAGGTACTGGAGTCACCAGACATCATTTTAAAGTAGTAACTGACAAGGAGGGAGGTCCATACCCCAACCCGTCCTCGCAAATAGTACATCGCATCTTAACGTATAAATCTTCTAAAGCATAATCATTCAATGTGTATATTTATAAATATGATAGGTTAGGTTCAATTCTGTCAATGTTTCATATAACAAAAAACTACATAAATGCTCTTAGTTGGGTATTTGACATTATTAAGGAATTATTGTTATTTTTTTAGTGTATATAAGCCTCATCTTTTAAATCTTATGTATCTTAATGATACGTACATTTGTCAAAAGATATATCCTATTTCAAGCACTGTTAATAAATTTAGGCTTCCTAAAAAAGTTTCAGGTTAAAGGTAGAGGACTATAAATTGTTTAGTATATTTTCTAATATATCTGCTATTGGCATTAGAATTTTAACAAAAGTTGTTCTTTATATTGTCTTTTTCATTTATTTTTATCATGTCATTGTTAAATTGGAATATTTTATATAATGCATAATTATAATAGGCAATATTATGTATTACTTTATTTTTTCTTCTTTATAATACGAAATTGACTTAATTTTGTAAAAAAAAGTTACTTATAATTGTACAACATTCTATGAATAAAGTTTTTGGATTAATTCAGGGGATATTGATTAGTATTGATTAATATTGATTAAATATTGATTAAAACAAATTGTAAAATCAAATATTTATAGAGTATAGGTAAAATAGACTAATATATATATATATATATATATATATATATATATATATATATATATATATATATATATATATATAAAATCATATATATATATATATATATATATATAAAGCGAAGTGAACCTCTCCGTGAAAACGTGGAATTAATTTGATTGATGAAAATTAGCTGGCATAAAACTTATTATTAGAATTGGCTGTTGATTGCTGGTGTTGACTTCTTGATGTGTAGTGCCTCGCAAACGTCGAGCCGCCTGCTATCGCTGTATCTATCGATGATTTCTGTGTTGTTTACTAGGATTTCTCTGGCGATGGTTTGGTTATGGGAAGAGATTATATGTTCCTTAATGGAGCCCTGTTGTTTATGCATCGTTAAACGCCTAGAAAGAGATGTTGTTGTCTTGCCTATATACTGGGTTTTTTGGAGCTTACAGTCCCCAAGTGGGCATTTGAAGGCATAGACGACGTTAGTCTCTTTTAAAGCGTTCTGTTTCGTGTCTGGAGAGTTTCTCATGAGTAGGCTGGCCGTTTTTCTGGTTTTATAGTAAATCGTCAGTTGTATCCTCTGATTTTTGTCTGTAGGGATAACGTTTCTATTAACAATATCTTTCAGGACCCTTTCCTCTGTTTTATGAGCTGTGGAAAAGAAGTTCCTGTAAAATAGTCTAATAGGGGGTATAGGTGTTGTGTTAGTTGTCTCTTCGGAGGTTGCATGGCTTTTCACTTTCCTTCTTATGATGTCTTCGATGAAACCATTGGAGAAGCCGTTATTGACTAGAACCTGCCTTACCCTACAGAGTTCTTCGTCGACTTGCTTCCATTCTGAGCTGTGGCTGAGAGCACGGTCGACGTATGCGTTAACAACACTCCTCTTGTACCTGTCAGGGCAGTCGCTGTTGGCATTTAGGCACATTCCTATGTTTGTTTCCTTTGTGTAGACTGCAGTGTGGAAACCTCCGCCCTTTTCCATGACTGTTACATCTAGAAAAGGCAGCTTCCCATCCTTTTCCGTCTCGTAAGTGAAACGCAGCACAGAACTCTGCTCAAATGCCTCCTTCAGCTCCTGCAGATGTCTGACATCAGGTACCTGTGTAAAAATGTCGTCAACATACCTGCAGTATATGGCCGGTTTCAAGTTCATGTCGACTAAGACTTTTTGCTCGATGGTACCCATGTAGAAGTTTGCAAACAGGACACCTAGGGGAGAACCCATAGCGACCCCATCTACTTGCTTATACATGTGCCCAGCCGGGCTTAAGAATGCCTGATTAGTACAAGCTTGGAGTAGTTTCCTCAGAATACTTTCTGGCATGTCAAGAGGAGTACAGGCTGGATCACGATACACTCTGTCGGCTATCATCCCGATTGTCTCGTCCACAGGTACGTTGGTGAACAGCGATTCTACGTCCAACGAGGCTCTTATCCCTGTGGCCCGTGCGCCCCGCAGTAAGTCCACAAATTCCTTTGGAGACTTCAGGCTGAAGGCGCAAGGAACATAAGGAGTCAGCAGGCCGTTGAGTCGCTTCGCCAATCTGTACGTGGGTGTGGGTATCTGGCTAATGATTGGCCGAAGTGGGTTTCCAGGCTTGTGCGTCTTGACATTTCCATACGCATATCCAGGTTTATATTCCCCAATGATCTTTGGCAGGTGGAGTCCGGATTTCTTGGCGTTCACAGTTTCGATCAGTTTGTTGACCTTTGCTTTTAATTCGGCTGTAGTGTCCTTCGTTACCCTTTGGAACTTAGTTTGGTCAGAGAGTATGATGTTCATTTTCGCCAGATATTCGTCTTTTTTAAGAATGACATATATTGGCGACTTGTCACCTCTCCTGACAACTATCTCCTTGTTCTCACGAAGGCTTTTAGCTGCCGCTCTAAGCTCGGGGGACAGTATGGTGCTTCTGTAGTTGCCTCGATTCTTTCCTCCTTCTGCAATAAGTTCTGCTTGTAAGGTATCTTTGGTAGTGACCTTCTTTTGTGTCTCGAGGTCGAATATGTCGTCCAACAGAATTTCCAACTCCACTTTCCAGAATTTCACATAACTCCACTTATGTTCCTTGCGCCTTCAGCCTGAAGTCTCCAAAGGAATTTGTGGACTTACTGCGGGGCGCACGGGCCACAGGGATAAGAGCCTCGTTGGACGTAGAATCGCTGTTCACCAACGTACCTGTGGACGAGACAATCGGGATGATAGCCGACAGAGTGTATCGTGATCCAGCCTGTACTCCTCTTGACATGCCAGAAAGTATTCTGAGGAAACTACTCCAAGCTTGTACTAAAGAGGCACCCTTCTTAAGCCCGGATGGGCACATGTATAAGCAAGTAGATGGGGTCGCTATGGGTTCTCCCCTAGGTGTCCTGTTTGCAAACTTCTACATGGGTACCATCGAGCAAAAAGTCTTAGTCGACATGAACTTGAAACCGGCCATATACTGCAGGTATGTTGACGACATTTTTACACAGGTACCTGATGTCAGACATCTGCAGGAGCTGAAGGAGGCATTTGAGCAGAGTTCCGTGCTGCGTTTCACTTACGAGACGGAAAAGGATGGGAAGCTGCCTTTTCTAGATGTAACAGTCATGGAAAAGGGCGGAGGTTTCCACACTGCAGTCTACACAAAGGAAACAAACATAGGAATGTGCCTAAATGCCAACAGCGACTGCCCTGACAGGTACAAGAGGAGTGTTGTTAACGCATACGTCGACCGTGCTCTCAGCCACAGCTCAGAATGGAAGCAAGTCGACGAAGAACTCTGTAGGGTAAGGCAGGTTCTAGTCAATAACGGCTTCTCCAATGGTTTCATCGAAGACATCATAAGAAGGAAAGTGAAAAGCCATGCAACCTCCGAAGAGACAACTAACACAACACCTATACCCCCTATTAGACTATTTTACAGGAACTTCTTTTCCACAGCTCATAAAACAGAGGAAAGGGTCCTGAAAGATATTGTTAATAGAAACGTTATCCCTACAGACAAAAATCAGAGGATACAACTGACGATTTACTATAAAACCAGAAAAACGGCCAGCCTACTCATGAGAAACTCTCCAGACACGAAACAGAACGCTTTAAAAGAGACTAACGTCGTCTATGCCTTCAAATGCCCACTTGGGGACTGTAAGCTCCAAAAAACCCAGTATATAGGCAAGACAACAACATCTCTTTCTAGGCGTTTAACGATGCATAAACAACAGGGCTCCATTAAGGAACATATAATCTCTTCTCATAACCAAACCATCGCCAGAGAAATCCTAGTAAACAACACAGAAATCATCGATAGATACAGCGATAGCAGGCGGCTCGACGTTTGCGAGGCACTACACATCAAGAAGTCAACACCAGCAATCAACAGCCAATTATTGCACAACTATATTCTACCCACCTCAAGACTCCGCTCCAATATAGAAGCATCAAGAAATATGGACCAATAGGCTTTCTACAAACACTTCTATTCAATATCCATTGTTTCGTGTTCTGTCTTGTGTTGATACTTTTAATACCCTATTAATATCCTCTAATGCCACATCATCCTTCCCACCTTACTCAAATGTAATGCCACATCACCCTTCCCACCTCACTCAAATGTAGATATAAAATCAGGGAAACGCAAGTTCTAATCAGTTGTGTATTTGTGAAGTCTTTGAAAATGTAATAAGTTTTACGAAACGCGCCCGTGTCGCGTCAGACTAGAATAAAAATGAATTTTGGAGAAGTGATTTTTGATTTACCTCCAACAGTGAAGCATAATGTACGAAAGATTGAGAAAATTCGTGTAGAATTATTAATCTTACTTTTTCGGTCATATTTAATAAAATATGTCTACAGGAAAGACTGCTACCAAAATATACTAATATATATATATATATATATATATAAAACGTCAAACGTGTTGCGTTTGACTTCATGGTGATTGGTCAAACGCAAAAGTACTAGTGGCAAATGAACTAGTACAAAATTCTTAAAATGTTTGTGCGAATTCTCTCCTGAATCATGTGAAGGAGAATACCTACAGGGTTCCTTAAGAACTTTTGTGACATTACCATTAAGGAAGAAATAGATGGCGTTTAGTGAATATAGATACAGGACGTTAAGGCCCAGCGCTCTTGTACATGTCGTTGATGGTGTCCAGTGATGTGGGTCCTGTAGTGGGGTCGGGAAGCACCCGAGGCATGAGGGTGAGACAGGAGTTGGACGAGTGCCCATGTAGATGTGGGTTATTGGTGCGGAGGTGTGGTGGTGGGCAGGTTTGGGACGCAAGCGTGACGCACCCCACCCTGGCTGCTGCTTCACCCCCACTCACTCTCTTCCCAGCATCTTCCCACACTTCTGAGGGTGAAACAATAAACCTAATGCATTAATACTAACATGCATCATTGTAAATATTACACTAACTAGCAATTATTATGATCAGTATTCACTTCTTGGAAGACATGTAACTCACTGAAGGACTTGGGTGGTGGAGGCAGATCGTTCAGATACATCTCATCATAGGTGTTCTCTGGTACCCTTCGCATCGGGAATGTTTGGTACATTAGAAGCTTTGTGGAGGCCAAGTGGCGACGACGGGAAGGCGGACTGCAGGCCACGGGTTCCCTGCCGTCCACTATCTGGTAGGGTGGCAGCCACCTACTGGAGGGCTGCAGGTGGCCCTCAGGGACTTGGCTGGTGGGCAGCATGAATATATCATCATTTGGGATGGTAACTAGCGAACGGTGATCATGAACGTGAGTCTTGGGCAACAGGTGGCTGCCGAAGGTGTGGGAGGTAAAGAACTTGTTGGCATCGCCGATGTGTAGGTTGGACTTCATTTGGGAGTCTGCAGTGGGCGGCAGTTGGGCGCCTGGGTCGTGTGCGGAGGACAGAGTTTGGTGGACTTGGATGGTATTGGTCGGTGCAACAGTTGACTTTAGGGCCTTGGGGACAGGCAGGTTCCGATCCGCTAACAATTGCTGCAGAAAGAAGCATATGGAACAAATTACCGGGTAACATGATACACGTAGGATACCTGGATTGTTCAGAGCATAAATTACGCATAAATGTAAACATTTTTGGGGTTCGAAACATTAGCTGCCTCGTATGGGCCAACAGACCTTTTGTAGTTTCCGTTATTCCCATGTTATGTTCTTAACAGCCAGTTATGCTGCATTATATTACTATAGAACCCTTAAACAGACGAATCGCACCCACTTGTCAACACTGACTAATTAGCTGACGTTATTTGCCGCGTATTAAATTTAAATTTAGCTCTTAATATTAATAATTTAATTTCTATCTTAAAGCGCCAGTGGTGCGTAAACTAACATTTTGAACACTTTAAAAAAACCATTTATTTAAACAATTATTTTAAACACAGAAGTTAAATCATTAAGTTTTCCGCTCATTAAGGTCATACATTTATTGTTATACATTTTTAAAATAATAAATTACTGATATATGCAAAAGTGAGATGTAAGTACACGACGTAAGCATGACTTACAATGGTGTCCTCTTGTTGGTCTTCCCGGCCAGCCACTTGTCTCTAACTCATTAGGCCAATGTTGAAGTTAAGGAATTACCCAAACCACCCTCAAAACAAAGCAAACCAACACGAAGTTACATATAATTATGTAAATAAAGCCAAAATTAAACATAAGATGAAACGATTTTTTGGTTAATAATAATAGGCTTCAGGCCACACAACTTCTGGAGGGTTATTAAGACCACCTCTCACAGGCGTCCTCACGAGCGTTCACTTCACTAAACTGATGTACTAAATTGCCCGAACCTACAGTGGGTACCATCCACAGATCTCCAGTATCAGCTATTGATACTGGTAATGGCTCCAATATGCCTCCATTTACGGGCTATTCATGCCCGTGCCACTTTTTGGGTGGCTTAATCTTTATCAATCAATCAATCTACAGTGGGTGACAAGTTGTAGCCCGCTCCTGTGCCAGGTAAGTCCACTACGGGCTCACCATAGCCCGTGCTACTTTGAACTTTTTGTTCCGAGTAATTGAATCTTAAACAACAACAACAACAGTGGGTGGTAGTATTTATTCTGACCATCCAGCCAGTTTACTTTATATAGTCCGGAACTAAGATAAACTCATAGTCGTTGCTTATGGCAAATGAAATGTATCAAACAAAACACTTGTATGGGTCAGTTAGCAAAATCAGTAAATTGCCAAATTATGTGGCGAATACGACTTGACTACAAGCATCTCTTGCAGTCCGGCTTGTATGGGGATCTATGTAGAGTCTTAGACGACATGATGTGTAAATATGTGGGTAAAGACAGGACACACACACACTAAATCATTTAGCCCGTTATTATATACTAAATGGTAAAAGTGCTTTTTTAGGAGTAACATTTCTGGATAATGAACCCGTTTCATAGCCTAGGATAAGAATTATTGCTATGTTAGCTACATCCCTAAGAGACCATATATTCTGGATACAGAATATTCTAGCTTTGTGATATATGGATCACAGATTACGGTAAAATCACAAACATTGTACAAACAGAGCTTTTCGTACTGAGTACGAAATAATTGTTTTTCATTAATTCTTGTTATACTGTACGTCAAGAGCCTACATTAAGCGTAAAGCTGCATAAAGCAACCTCTAATCCGTAGGTTTGCCAGGAATACATTATAATAAAATTGCAGCAATGTAAAAGAAAATTATACCCAACCCACACTAGAGAGACGGTGGCCTACGAATAAATTTAGGTAAATAAAAGGAATTGACAGTGAGGACGGTGCTGTCCATCCTGGACTTGGTAAGGGTCCAGGACGGACAAACATCGTCGTTTTCATTCGATATGTGGGAGGTAGTTATTTACAACGAGTCACAAGCAGACGTCACTTCAATTACTCTCCGGAAAAAGTTCAAATATATCAACCAACATGTCCTAACTAACTAAAGTGCTCTGACACTTCGCAGTTACCTGCCACTTTTCACCTTGTCCTCATATACCTTTAAGTGCTATATAGTCTATACTGGTCTATATATGTATTAGTCATACATACTCCGGACAGCTGCAGCCTCCAGGAACTAATGACGCTGAAGCCTCTTCGTGGCTATATAGTGGAATGGTCAGTGTTTTTGGTAGAGTGCCGGAGGCTATCTACTTGTGGGGGGAGTTAGTTACTAGGCTCCCCAATAAATACTCGGAGAACTACCGATTCGAGAGCATTAAGCATTAACAGACAGAACGGCAGTCAGCAGAGCAGAGGAGACGGCCCTAGCAGGGAGGCTGTCGGCCGGCAGGGCGGGAGTCTCTGTCAACTACAGACCCCCCCCCCTCTCTATCCAGCTATAGGCAGAGATACTTGGTGAGTTGAGCAGTAAGGTGACTTGGTCGTGTTTACATATGTTGTGTGATGATCAGGGGCAGTCAAGTTGTAGGGTTCTCGAATTCTTGGATGATAACTCACTTTGCATATTAAACTGGAACATTTTAATTGAATTGCTAAATTATGATACTTCATGTGAAATATAATTATGAATTTATTATTTAAATTGTGTTTAACTTTGTTCCCTAGAGCTTTGAGTTGAGGTGAGAAAGCCTCTGTGGTTACTGGTTTCATGATATTAATGAGTACATGTTTGGAGTTGATACATGGTAATAACATCTTTTGAGAATATTTGATACAGACAAGTTCCATTCCTTGTCTTGTATGTAATGGTCTAGAATGGATGGTGGCAGCATTTCGTCTTCTACTATCTACTCTTCTACTTCTACTATCTACTCTTCTACTTCTACCTATCTATTCCTCTCCCTCCACCCCTCTCTAAACTCTCACTTTCAACTAATGACCCTCCTCGCTCCTCCCACCTCCCTACCTCTCACCCCAAACCCTCACTAATTACTTCACTATTCATTTCTTTCCTTTCGTTTCCTCTTATACGTTTGTGGCAATGTTTCTGTATTCTAGAGTTCTCTCTAGAGTTTCGGGTAACTGTTCAAGTGACGGCGCCTTGTAGTCTTAGCACCTAGGTAGTCAAATACCTAGGTTACAAGGTGTTGAACCAGAGAGGTTGCCTTAGGAACTCTGGGAGTGCTCTAGAATAGTTAGCTAACTGGGGACGGGATAACGGACTAGAGAGAGCTGTTTCCCCCGGCCTCGTTAGTTAACTGGGGGGTGGAATAATGGACAAGATAGAGCTATTTCCCCCAACCCCTGTTACAATGATGGCAGCGGTGTTGAACAATGTTGTAGGTAGTTGGTGTTCTTTTAACATTGTTCAGTCCCACGTGTCTTTTTGCCGCTCAGGCGCTATCAGGGAGATCTTGACAGGTGTTTATTATTCGCGATTTAGCGAGCTGTTTCCCCCGGCCTCGTTAGTTAACTGGGGGGGGGTGGAATAATGGACAAGATAGAGCTATTTCCCCCACCCCCCGTTACAATAGCCCGTGCTACTTTGAACTTTTTGTTCCGAGTAATTGAATCTTAAACAACAACAACAACAGTGGGTGGTAGTATTTATTCTGACCATCCAGCCAGTTTACTTTATATAGTCCGGAACTAAGATAAACTCATAGTCGTTGCTTATGGCAAATGAAATGTATCAAACAAAACACTTGTATGGGTCAGTTAGCAAAATCAGTAAATTGCCAAATTATGTGGCGAATACGACTTGACTACAAGCATCAATTGCAGTCCGGCATGTATGGGGATCTATGTAGAGTCTTAGACGACATGTGTAAATATGTGGCTAAAGACAGGAACACACACACTAAATCATTTAGCCCGTTATTATATACTAAATGGTAAATGTAGTGCTTTTTTAGGAGTAACTTGAGAACTTTCTGGATAATGAACCCGTTTCATAGCCTAGGATAAGATTATTGCTATGTTAACTACATCCCTAAGAGACCATATATTCTGGATACAGAATATTCTAGCTTTGTGATATGTGGATCACAGATTACGGTAAAAATCACAAACATTGTACAAACAGAGCTTTTCGTACCAAGTACGAAATAATTGTTTTTCATTAATTCTTGTTATACTGTACCTCAAGAGCCTACATTAAGCGTAAAGCTGCATAAAGCAACCTCTAATCCGTAGGTTTGCATATTATACCCAACCCACACTAGAGAGACGGTGGCCTACGGATAAATTTAGGTAAATAAAAGGAATTGACAGTGAGGACGGTGCTGTCCATCCTGGCCTTGGTAAGGGTCCAGGAGGGACAAACATCGTCGTTTTCATTCGATATGTGGGAGGTAGTTATTTACAACGAGTCACAAGCAGACGATACTTCAATTACTCTCCGGAAAAAGTTGCAAATATATCAACCAACATGTCCTAACTAACTAAAGTGCTCGAGACACTTCGCATTGGTTACCTGCCACTTCCTCCACTTTGTCCTCATATACCTTTAAGTGCTATATAGTCATACTGGTCTATATATGTATATAGTCATACATACTCCGGACAGCTGCACTTCCTCCAGGAACTAACGTTGACGCTGAAGCCTCTTCGTGGCTATATAGTGGAATGGTCAGTGTTTTAAATCAACTTATGACAACAAATATACACAATGTACTTATTATAGCTTGGTAAATCTAAGGGAAATTATTATGGGAATGGGGAGTGAGTGTTGCTGGAGAGTCCAGAGACCCAAGTTCGATCCAACTTCCCCGTTCACTCCATTTGCCACTTCGTAAACAAAAAGAAAAATGTTTTACCTAACTAGAAACGTGCGAACCCAAGCAACCCACCTAACATATCGAGGCCGATGCAGAAAAAGTCAATATTACGGCGATTTAAATTGTACTAATACGTCGCTTTTTTACCGAATATGTCGATTCCTTGATTCCGTGACGTACTATGGACTTGACGGGTTGGGACACAATACAGATATATAATCGGTCAAACAAATGTCAAATATGTATTTGTGCACTTACATATGGCAGTTTGTCGCTTTGCCTGAGAATTTGGGCAATTATTCGAACCATATACAACTTAACATTATTGTATCTCCATCTTCTATTTATACATTCGTTTTTGTTCTGTAATTTGTCATATTCATAATATTATGACTGAAAAATTATCACTGCGAAAAGGACTTTAACGTGTGCTTAAATAACAATCTAAATATTAGGCTTGTTAGACAATATTATATTATATATATATATATATATATATATATATATATATATATATATATATATATATATATATATATATATATATATATATATATATATATGTCGTACCTAGTAGCCAGAACTCACTTCTGAGCCTACTGTGCAAGGCCCGATTTGCCTAATAAGCCAAGTTTTCATGAATTAATTGCTTTTCGACTACCTAACCTGCCTAACCTAACCTAACTTTTTCGGCTACCTAACCTAACCTAACCTATAGAGATAGGTTAGGTTAGGTTAGGTAGGGTTGGTTAGGTTCGGTCATATATCTACGTTAATTTTAACTCCAATAAAAAAAAATTGACCTCTTACATAATGAAATGGGTTGCTTTATCATTTCATAAGAAAAAAATTAGAGAAAATATATTAATTCATGAAAACTTGGCTTATTAGGCAAATCGGGCCTTGAATTGTAGGCTGAAAAGTGAGTTCTGGCTACTAGGTACGACATATATATATATATATATATATATATATATATATATATATATATATATATATATATATATATATATATATATATATATATATATATATATATAATATTCATGCCCATTAAGTCATCCCGAAGAGGCCTATTTTGCATACAAATAATACTTGACACACACTCATGTGGCTGCAATTTCAATATGGCATTAAATGACATCAGCCATGAAGCCCTTATTTGACGACGCTAAATTCCGTGAGGGTCTAAAACTTGTACTGGCATGAACATCAATGACGTCATAGTGACGTTACATCCTGACTCTCAAATATAAAATACAGCATTTTATCTCTAATTTTTGTATGGTTAGGTTGTAGTATGTTAGGTTGGGTTGGGTTAGGTTGTGATAGGTAAAGTTAGGTTGGGTTATGTTAGATTTAGGTGTTTGTTTATAGCGCAGCGATGACGTGAAATGTGCATACTTTTCTCAAATTTTAGACCCTACTCCTAAATTCAGGCCAGGATCAGGCACTCCCTGGGTCAGACGAGGCACTTTTCCATAAAAAAGAATACGGGGAAATTTATGCAAGATGTATACTATGTAAATTAACTGGAAAAGAATGGAGACTTTTGTTGTATTAGCTGATAAAGCTTGCGTTGACTGGTAGTGTTGTGTTGGTTGGTGGTGGTGTTTTGACAGGCAGTGTGCTGTGTTGACAGGCAGTGTGCTGTGTTGACAGGCAGTGTGCTGTGTTGACAGGCAGTGAGTGGGTGGGTTCATGTGGAGAGTTACCTTGACGTCGCGGGCAGCCTGGCAGTAGAGGAGGAGGAAGACGACGGCCACGCAGGAGACAACAGCCAGCGTCGCCGCCACCAGGGTGAAGTCCGTCTCTGGTGACACACGCCATATTCCCCATTGTCATCACACACACACATATACCGTCTCCCACACACACCAGTATAACAAAGTGAGTATTACCGCCTCTATATCAAACAATTGTTATCATTTCCATTATTATATTTAAGAATAAAACACTATGGGCGGACTTACTATGAAACAACATTCCAATGTAGTTTTAACCGAGTATAAAATGCAGCTTGCAAACATGAAGCACTTGACATATTGATCTACAATTTCAAGTGCTGATAAATACAAAATACGTGTATTTTACTATTTGTGTCTGCAGGAACGAGCTGTTAGCTCTTGGGGCCCCGCCTTTCTAAACGTCGGTTGCTAAATGTACTAACGCATGTGCGTGTGTTGCGCAAACCGTACACTTTTTGGGGCTGCAACAATCCATTTTTTGTGCGTTCGATCAGTGTGTGTGTGGAAAGAGATGAACCCCTTTTGGAGGGCCAGAAACGTACTTACCGTTACACATGGTGAGGACGGGCAGGGCAGGAGCTGATACCAGCTACACCACCACAACACAACGCTCCCAAGCCTGGCAGGAGGCTTCAACGCCCCTGCTACACCACCAGCAGGGTCCTGCACACACACACACTTGTCAGCTGTGTGTAAGTATTTCAGCCACACACACTCACGTGGGAGCTACATAATGTTAAAAACCATTCTTGTATCCCCCGCCCTTCCCTAGAACTCGCCCTATCCTCCCGGATGTCGGTGACAAGATAATAATATTTGTATACACCATGTTGTTATGGTGGCATTCTGTTTTTTTACTTAGCATATTGATAACGTCTAGGACGGAACAACTAGCTGGGCTGGGTTTTGTATAGGACCACGTCCTATACATAAGTATACATACGTTGTCCACGTCCTATACGTAAGTTGGCCCGAGAGACGATGGGCATATATGGTGAGGTGTTTTATATAGTTTCCAGACAATGTCTGGCAGTATGGTAAGGTCAGTGTGGTTAAATTTAATTCGTGTTCTTCAGTTCACTGCCGTATGCTCTTCTGCTCATTAGTATAAGATTTTCAATCCCCTAATATATGTTCTTCAGTCCACTAATATGTGTTCTTCAGTCCACTAATGTGTTCTTCAGTCCACATTTTTGGACACGGTAACCAATGAGATTCAGACAGAACTTCCAGTATGCATGGAATCTACTAGTATATGTTCTTCACTCCACCAATATCTGTTCTTCAGTCTACCAGTATATGCTCTTCAACCGCGGGACCCGGCTTCAGTCCCCGATCAAAACAGAAGCTGTTTGAGAACATTTCCTTTCACCCGATGCCGCTGTTCACCTGGCAGTAACACAGGTAACCGGGAGTTAGATAACTGTTGTGGGCTGCTTCTTGAGGAAGGCCAGTAACATGCCTTGTTAGTGGGACTTCAATAAGCCAAAGTAACCAACCCATCCTCCTGTTTAGATAGTAGTTTTGGTAACAATATGCACCATTGTACAAATATTGACGTACTAAGCAATTAGATAGTACAATTTTGTACTATTCACTTTATAGTTCGAAGAAAATGAAGCTACAAAACATACTTAAATATTCCTAGGCCTAGCCTAGCACACATTTGTACTCCATTTGTTCTCAGATAACGTGTATTAGGCCTAGGAAGGTTAGGCTAGGTTAATTTAACTTTGCAACATAAGTAGACAATCGTTTTCCGGTTTCCCAAAAATTCAATAGTACCGATTTCTACTTTCTAATTGCGTTGTATATCGGTATGTGTATTATGGTCCTCATCCTTCCTACAAGTACTACCCAAACAGGAGGATGGGATGAGGCTTGCTGACGGCGACAACGGCAATTATGACGGTTCTATGAAAATGTAGGACACTTGCCTAATGTATTATACACTACGAATATTAAATTGTACTTACGTACTGTATTAATATCAATGTATTGTATAGAAGCACGAAATTTCTTTACAAAACCGCAGTGTGTCATCCCATATAGGTCTCAATAACGGGGCCGAAAAATCGACACATCCCAAGTCAAATATATCATTTCTTGCGTATTTATGTATGACCAAATAAGCGATGAGTTAGTAGGACAATTCTTTAATATGAACACCACACTCATCCTGTGGATGGTAGTGGAAAAGCTATAATAAGCTCATGAAATGAATCCTAAAATTTTTATTAACACTGCAAGTTTCAGTACCGATGAGCTCGTCTACATAGTTGTCTGAAACGCTCAGTGTACTAGCGGCTCAATATAATTTACATTGGACCTACGACAATTTAATATTATTATTATTATTATTAGTAGTAGTAGTAGTAGCAATAGTAGAAGCTAGTAGTAACTAGTAGTAGTATTATTGTTGTTCGTTTAAAATTGAGGCATTTTGTTATAGTCTGCCCTATAAATAACTGGGGTTTTCTTTAACATTGTTAAACGATAAGGAATTTCGTTTTCTTAAAGTCCTAAGGAGTAACTATATATAAGTAATAATTATTTTTTACCTGAGGGCCACTAACATTAGTGGCTGCGATGAGGACAGGAAGCCGGTGGCTTGTCAGAGATCCTCCCCCCATTTGTGCTGATTATTTTTTCAAGCTTTGTTTTAAAGTTCAGCAGAGTTTTGGCATTTACGAAGTCGACGGGTAGGCGGTTCCATGGGTTTATAACTCTGTGGGTGAAAAAGTATATTTTTTATTCAGTCCTACATTGTGGCTTGTTGAGCTTGAAACTCTTACTCCTTGTCTGTGTTGCATCTGACCTTTTGAAGAAGTTGTCCGGATCAACATTCTTCAAATTGTTCGGTATTTTGAACATTTCGATGAGATCGTATTCGTATCCTGGTTCGAATACTCGTATCGTATTCGAATACGAGTTCGAATACTCTAATATTCGTATCCTCGAATACAAATCGAGGACGGGTTGTGTGTAAACCGTTTTTCCTTCCTAAACAGGGGGTTTGGAGGGTGAATGGAATGGACTTTAGGTCTTTGTTTGGAGGACGGACTGGGATAGAATGGACTTAGTCCGAGGACGGGTTGATATTGTGTATTCATATAGGTTCGTATCCTGGCCGGGAAGGATTAACTAGGCACCAGTCCTTAGCTGTAGCCGGTGTTCACCCAGCAATGAATTGGTACCTGGTTGTTAAACGATTTGACGGGTTGTATTCCGGTGAAACTTAGGATTATGGATCTGCCCGAAATATTATATATATATATATTATATATATATTATATATATATATATATATATATATATATATATATATATATATATATATATATATATATATATATATATATATATATATATATATATATATATATATATATATATATATATATATAGTCCGTAGCAGCTGTCTAACTCTCTGTTACCTATTTACTGCTAGGTGAACAGGGCCATCAGATGAATTTATCTCCACCCACTTGTTTCTTCGTCAACCGGGAATCGAACTACTATGTTTAGATCCGAAACTTATGACGCAACCTGTCCTCTTAAAAAGAACGTCGCTTGTGGCCGTTTACCAGTATGGCCGAATATGGACGTACAGTAATTTGAAAATGAAAAAAAAAAAAAAAAAATTTGGGATTTTTTTTTTCAACAACAGTAAGTTAAGGGTCCTCTGGTAGGTTAGGTGGGCAGGAAATTCTCAAAAAGTTTCAAAACGTTATGAAAAACGTTAATGAAAAGTTCCTCTTCTAAGCTTGCCGAGTAAGCCGGACGACTCAAACAGAAAACGGGACAGTACGTCACTTTTGTGAGTCGATTTCATTTCAAATACGTCCAAATTTGGCCATAGTGCGCATACCAGCGAAAAGTGACGTTATTTCCAAGAGGACGGGTTGATGACTAACCATCCCGCGTAATGGGGATTTTTAGCATCCCGTAGCTAGCTTTTGACACTACGCAACCCTTCACACAGTCTAGGGTCGATCGCTTATGGGCACACATAACTGTGATAATAAAAAGCGCACCACACAGCAAGGACTGTGGCTATGAACGCGTCACAGAGATGTATGGAGTAGAGTCCAAAACCTGTACTGGCAAAAACATTATGGCATCATAGTGACGTCACACACCTCGTCCGCACACCATATATATAAAACAACATTTGTCTCATTTTCTTTTGGTTAGAAGAGGCCAAGTTGGATTAGATTAGGGTAGTTTATTCGGCAGCGATGACGAAGAAGGGCGTATACCTTCGTCAGGTCTTGGACCCTACTAGGTGACTGGGTACCTTGTGGTTTACTGTGCTTCCTGACCGGCAGGACGAGCGCCTTCTATAGCGTGTGGGTGTTGGGCCGGCCACCTCGGAGGGGACCCGCCCTGTGGGCTCAGCCCTCACCTGACGGGTCTTGCCTTGGGACCTGCTGGAGTGTGGGAGGGGAGTGGAAGTACCCACTCTCTTGCGCACACGCACGCACGCACACGCACACACACACACACACACACACACACACACACACACACACACACACACACACACACACACACGTTAGAGGGTTAGAGTTAGAGGGGACATGATCACCACATACAAGATTCTCAGAAATTGATAGGGTAGATAAAGACAGACCATTTACCACAAGGGGCACACGCATTAGGGGACACAGGTGGAAATTGAGTGCCCAAATGAGCCATAGAGACGTTAGAAAGTATTTTTTCAGTGTCAAAGTAGTAGACAAATGGAATGCATTAGGCAATGATATGGCGGAGGCTGATTCCATACACAGCTTCAAGTGTATATATAATATGATATGAGCCCAGTAGGCTCAAGAACCTGTACATTAGTTGATTGACAGTTGAGAGGCGGGACCAAAGAACCAAAGCTCAGCCCCTGCAAGCACAATTAGATGAATACAATTAGGTGAATACACACACACACACCAGTGGTTTGGTATAGCAACTCTCCCACACACCACTACCTGCTCTAACATGGCTGCACTCCCCCCCCCCCCCCCCCACACACACACACACACACAGTATTGTCTATGCCCACACTCAAACTCACACCACAGTCTGTCCTAAAATGGCTACACTCCCACACACCACCGTATTGTCTAATATGCCCACACACACATACACACACACCACCGTCCGTCCCAAAATGGCCACACTCCCACACACTGAGGAGCAGACAATCGCTAATCCCAACATAGTTATCCATTCACAAGGCTCCTTCGTTTTCTATGAGATAATCGTGTCGTCATGTTTCTGGAATGGGAAGCGTATTACCAGGTATTCTCACTCAGTCACCGCTGATCTTCATCCTTTAATATTATTACAAACTGTAGTACTGCCGTAAGTCCATGCGTTGCATAGAAGTATATTGATAAATACGAAGAGATGGAGCAAGAGTTGTGCATTAGTGATGACCTAAATTTACCTGATGGCCATAATCTCTAGTGGCCTTAGTCGAATAGGACACCGGCTTTGTCAACTCGGCTGGAGTTTTTCCAGCTAAATGTTTAAGTAATGTCTTGGGGTTTTCGGCTCCGGCGTGTACGGGATTCCATGGGTTTATTACCCTAAAGCAGCATTATGTCATACATGGTGGCTGGCTTGTTGAGCTTGAAACGGTTACCCCCGTGTATGAGAGCCATTGGACCTTTGAAAGAAGTGGTCTGGATTAGTTTGTTCAGTACTTTAAAGGTGTCGATTATATCATCAGTGTTATGTCTGGGTTGTAGTGTTGTTAGTCCTGTGGTCCTGCCTTGCTCTCTGACACTCT